TGTATGCAAATTCGCGACAGTGCCCTATGGGTCAAGATTCATCCCCAGATAAATGTACTTTAGAGTTTATTATGTAGAATCGCGCTGACTGGGTCACAGGTACTATCTTTGACATGTGACCATAAAATACTCAGATGACGTTAGCTGGTTTTGGCAAGTTATAATCTATTGTTATCAATGTTATAGAATGTCTATAAACCTTCATACTTGCCTATACAACAGGGGGAATAGCTAAATTGTTCTTGTAGTCAAAAGTTGAAAAAATATTTTGGAGAATACCACTCATGTAAAAGATAAGGCAGGGTTTTGTGATGACCGCTCGTAAAGAGATAAAAAGTATATTATACAAGATTAATCAAAATAGACAATACATAGATACCAACTGGTCTGGAAAGCGCAATTCTTGCATAAAGAGGACCTATTAAAATCGTTCTGTATAATTACAATCAAGGTAAGCGTAATTATGTGCAGATAAAACTAAGATGAAAACAGTATTGATATTTGATATCCTTTACAATTTATTTTTAATGAATTCCTAGGCAGATTTGCTTTTGATGCAGAAATTTGATGCAGTTATTTCTTCACTCATATCAATTTTACTTTTTTAACACAACGGATTAGTGTTGTTTACACAGAAGAAGAGCACGAGTGGATTGCAAATTTATTAACTAAACCCTTGTAAATACCCTGTTATTTGATTAAGTCTATAGTCAATTCTATAAATTCCACTTAACTTATTTAAGTATGTGTAGATCCGCCTCAAAGTCAGACTTCTTGCCATCTAATAAAGCCATCCATTTAAGGCCGACTTGAAGCTCAATTAATAACAGATATTCTTCTTCTATTTTCATAAACGTATCGGATAAGCTGTAGCGAGCTAATTACATCCAAATCTGCATGGCTGTAGTATATAAGTAATAGTGATTTGCAATTCGAGTGGCTATGTGCATGACACCTTTCTCTCTTTGCCATTATATACTTTGTTTGGAGAGTGAATATTTACAATGATTTATGCTGAAAGCTTACAATGACATATGCCAAAATAATAAAGTTTAAATAGAAATATTTTTTTGAATTCTGACGCTTCAGTCACATCAAAGTCCTGAGCCTACAAATCTGTTTTTCCAAGGAGTCCCTGAATCTTAAAATTATCTTGAAAAATTTCAAGACAGTTTCGCCATCTAAGGACCCCATCATCCAATCGTCGGTGCCTATCCCTTTTTTGAGTCCTCCTGAACAAGACAGCGGAGTCCATCTGCTACCTCTTCCTCAATTGATACAGAGTCGATATATTGCATTTGGGCATTGTGTCCATCCATACAAATCTTTCTTATTCTGTTCTTTGTTTCAGGTGTCATCCAAGCTAATGAAGTTACGTTTTTAGCTGCGGAGTCGATAAGCTGTTCTGGCAGCCTGTTGCTCAATTTAAGGTCATTAGGTGACTCACTTTCTTCGTAACAAGATGAATCAAGTTGAAGACGACATAGTTCGTGCCTTATAATCTCTGATCTAGTGGGAGCGTAGAAGTCACGTAGGCCGAAGTTTTCTCTCACTGCCATTTGACGTTCAAGACTCATCTGCATAAGACGTGCTGCAAAGTCGGGCTGTGGCCAGGCAATTCCGAAACTGAGCAATTGCATAGGAGAAGGTTTACGAGGACGTCCTGATGTGGAAATGCGGTTGACACCATTAAATAGTTTTAACTTAGCCTGCAGCTTGTGTGCTAGCTGACCGAATTCCACGTCTGATTTCGTATCTTTCTGAAATCCTTCGCATCTGTTACCCGATTCTGGTACCAATCTTTCATTATGTGAACGGAAGGTACCTTGACTCGAGTTGTTTGTTGTGTATTGCTTCTGTTTAATCTCATCTTCATTTATATACATATCCTTATTATTCCCATTATTTGCTATCGATCTTATTGGTTCCTCAGTTCGTGTGATGGCATACGAAATTGTAGATGGAGGCTGAACACTAGAAATTGCCGTTTCTCTATAATCATTTTCAAAATTTATATTAGAGTACAAACTTTCTGGTTCAAGTGTTGGGGCCTGAGGACTCCTTCTTCTAGGCTTAGATTCGCTGTGCTTCCTCTTCGAAATGCCTACCAACCGAGAGGCTTCATGTCTTTTGAGAAGGGTAGCCGTGGTTCCAGGAGGTCTGCCTGGACCAGTCTGCGAACAATCGAATGTTTCTAAAATATTGCTATCACAGC